TTTTGGAGAGGTTTTTGCTATAGGGCGTGTGCGCTCGCCAGACAGAGAGAGAGACAGAGAGAGACAGAGAGACAGAAAGCGAGAAATCAGCCCCCAGGGGGGATGGCCACACCGCAATCCCTTCTCCTCCATTCTCCTCTCGGGATCTTGGGCACACACGCACACACTCCCGGCATGAGTTTAAGCCACCGGGTCTGGCACTCGAACCACGGCTGACTACAAGGGAGTCCAGCGATATAGCCATTACGCTAACTGCTGGTCCCCAAGAATAGAATTCTTGACTGAAAGTTGAGCATGATGCTGAGGCTAGAAGCAAGAAAGAGCATGCTTGGGAAATGGTCATTGGTCCAGAGAGACCAAGACTGTCCCCACTTGAAGCATAAGGATGAGGCCAGCACTGGAGCTTGGGCATATCCTTGATGAAGCCTCAAACTAGCAAAGATGCCAATTTGTAAAAAATAAAAAAATTCAAACACAATACAGTGGAGAAAGTAAAATAGAGGGACATTTTGGTCACATAACATTAAAGATGGATTTGATTTTTATACATAAAAATGTGAACAATTGGTATTGAAGGTGGCATAACTGTAATTTTAACATAATATGCCACTCTTTTGGATGTAGCTCAAACTTTGAGACTGAAAGGAAGGCACTGGAATTAATACCCCTGTAGAAACGAAAGGTTCTCTTTGTTCTATAAACAACTCTGAAACCTAGGTCACTTGTATTTTTCAGGTACCTTACCTAAAGATAGAAAGATTTCTTATTCACATCATGAGCTTTTACCTCTTGGGTCAAATTTTGCAGGAAGAGATTGGGCATATATTGAAAGGTGAATGAATAGTCATTTCTTGCCTACCTGTTTTGTGCCCAATAAGCTGCCCAGCAGCAGAGGGCACTGAAAGGCAGTGGAAGTTCACTGGGCCTTTTACCCCTATCATACAGAGAGCTGTAAAGGGCGTCAACAACAGCCTCTGGAGCTTGTGGCTTTGATCATGCCCCCATTCTTTCATAGGAGATGCAGAATACCTTGTCCTTTAGAGATCGAGTGCCATGTCTCACATACACAGTGATTGATCAGTACTTTTATTGCATTTTTAGTGGTAAAAATATATAGACTCCAGTCATCTCTGGAGATGCTGAAATAGTCTTTTTTCCTCTTGATTTAGGGGAAGGTAGAGAGGGAAGATGTGTGCAGAGCATGACATAAATATAAGAGCTCAAATATCTAATTAGCTGAAAGAATCTTGGTTCCCTCTGCACCTTTGACAGAATTGCCGCTGTCAGATTGAAGCTCCAATATTTTATCCTCATTGCAAGATGTATCTGAGGATGATTTAGAAAAGACACTTTCTAACCCGAATGCTGCTCTGATTTCTTTGCAGGATGCTTGAAGATGACCTGAAGCTGAGCAGTGATGAAGATGACCTTGAGCCTGTGAAGACTTTGACCACTCAGTGCACTGCCACTGAGCTTTACCAGGTAGGAAGAGCTTAAGGATTGGTTTTGCACCTAAGGAGAGGGAACAGACAAAACTTAAATGGCTTTGACAAACACAAGCCTCCCCCCTGCTTCATCTCCAGACTTTAGAGACAGTAAAAGAAGCAAAGATGGGCATCGTGTTCAGGAACAGATCAAATTAGTTCATGCTTTCATTAAAGCTATGGTCATGGAGATGCTTGCTGAGCTCTTTAGAACAGCTTTCATCCCCTCCTACCTCTCTCTACTTTTCATACACAAATACTGATTGTCAATAAGTAATACAGATTTCTTTCCATTTCTTGGACTATGTATTATCTTGGGTGAAGTGTGACTTCAGTGGTTCTAGTGTGAGACTGAGAAATCACATTCTTTACTATAGGTATAAATGTGACTGCTCCATTTGCCTGTCCCAATGCACCATTTCAGAATGCAGCTGAGAATCAAGACCCAGCACTTTGTCACTCACTTGAACTTTCAGTCAAAAGGCATTTGGCAAAACCTTGCCGTTGCTCTTGTGTTTTTCCATTCTGCATTATGAATATTTGTAGTACTTTACTCCCAAATGAAATAGCAAGAATATTTGCTTCTAGCATTTCTAATGAAATTAATTTGTTGATTATTTGACTCATGAGCAGGGCAGTGTAGTGTGTGGCATCAATCTTGCTTGTGTATTTTCTCCATGTGAGAGAGAACTGTCTCGAATGTGGGTCTTTCTGGCTGTGCTTATAACCTCAAATAAGGAATACAGAGGAATTGCCTTTTTGTAAAGTCAGTACGCAACTAAGGTCTTCCTACAGTAAAGTCTGCTAAGTTACAAAACTGAAACGGATCATTTTCAAGAATGCTCATGCACTGGTAATTCAAGAGAGACCACAAATAGAGAATTCTGTATTCACAAAATATTCTGTGAGGATGAGCCTGCAAAGAAAAGCCTAGGGAAAACTCCCAAGGCTCACCCACTCCATTTTCATCCACAATTGTTTATTACGTTAGAACTCAACCTTCAGTATATTTGAAATATCAAATCCATCTTCAATGTTATATGACCAAAATGTTCCTCTCCTTTACTTTCTCCACTGTATTGTGTTTGGATTTTTGATAGTTTACAAAAACTGGCATCTTTGCAAGTTTGAGACTTTATCAAGGATAAGGCCAGGCTATAGTGCTGGCCTCAGCCAAGTTCATGATTGCTTCCCAGGGGCTTGCTGTCCATTTACTGATTGCAAGAGAACCCTCTTTTCCTTGAGGCATGGGTTTCATGGTGAATGTAAGACACACATTTACTTCCCAATGTCTGCCATTTTTGCTTTCTGCATTTGATACACCAGTAGCACAAGCATCATGTTTATAAACAAAACAAAACAAAAAATCCTAGTTATTGATTTTGAAAAATGAAATGTACTTTTCAATGGAAATGTTTAAAGCAGAATTCAACAATAAATGGAAGTAGATTTTGCATATTGAGTTCCTTTCTATGTGATTATATAAACATAATCTGCTTTTTAATGTATGAAGCTATTATTTTCTGTATTAAGTGGCATCAGGTCTGTTGGCCCAAATCATCTGGGACTTTAGGATATATTACTGACTTTATGTAGTTGCTCAGATCCTCAGATGGTCAGAATTGGCCTTTCCATGACATGCTGCCCTTAGACCAGTCACACTTTCCTCAACTAGGCTTAGGTTCTCACGCACAATTTGATGGGGAGGTTGAACTGGGGGAATCTAAGGCAAAGCCACATGAGCACTTATTCACCTGGCTGAGTCCAGAAAGCAAGAACTGGGCACCAGGTTATAAACATTTGCAAATGAGCCCTCCTTATGGCTTAAAGACTAGTTAAAAAGCCTAAAAGTTGCATACCAAAAGGCCTAAAAAGTTGCAGACCAAATGAGAATCATTTCCTTTTATTTTTATTGTGGCAAGATTCACATAATATTAAATCCCTTTTGAAGTGTCCATAGGGATCTGCTAGGAACTGAATTGAACTTCCTAGTTGGCCCCCACAGGCCTCGAGTTAATACAAATGACCTTAACTTCCCTTTGAGTCCTGACAACTTTTAAGCCAGAGGTCCTAGAAAGAAAGGTCAGGTTGCCAGTGACACTGCACCAAGTCCTCTAGGAAATTTAATGTATCTAAAAGTTTTCTTTAAGAGCTCAACATGGCGGAGACTTGAGCACCCCTTGGATTATAGTTCTTACCTTTTCTTTGTGAGCTCGTGCTCTGTTGCAATGCTGGTCTCACTCTGGTTCTCTCTCAGGTGTTATCCCTGCACGGGACATAAACAGCCCACTTGAAGATGACATTCGTCCTTAAGACATTCCAGAACAGTGTTGGAATTGGACACAGTGCTGTCTACTTAGTGTCTTCATAAACATGTGTGTTACAATACGTTCTTCTTTTGAAAAAAAAAAAAATAGAGTCAGATGTCAATGACATGGTTGGGCCTTGGGGGCTACACGATGTCCATTACCCAGCTGACTGAATGTTTACTTCTTAGCTGCTGCTGTTGGCATCACAGATACAAAATCCACCCGGCCTTCTCCATGCAATACTTATTGAATTGCCATTTTCAAGCCAGTCATCCAGGGCAGGCAGTGGTGTTGTGATGAGTCCACTGGGGTTTGGCTAGGGAGAAGCCCAATCTGGGAGAACAGTCTTCTTGGGAGTGAGGGTGTGTTGTATTCTCTATGTGCCCCCACCTCATACAACTGAACCTCCAGATTTCCTTTTTGTAAAATTTTTCTTCTTATGTTTCTCGGGATTAAAGAAACCCCTGAAAATGAGGAGTTAAACCTGGAATCAATTTTCATTTATAGCTGAGAAGCAGTTATTGATGCTGTGCTTGCAGTTCAATAAAAGATCTAAAGATATAGACCTTTTGCTTCTCTTTCAATATAAGCAGCCTAATCAGTCTCAAATGTTTTTTTAACAAAGAAATTGTATTGACAGGTTTATTAAAATTGCTGTCTTTAAAATTTTAAGCTATTGTAATTTGACCTTATTCCAAAGGCTCCTAGGATATGTAGTGGCCCAACTCCAGAGCTCCCTCCAACACATATTCATAGAACCAAGTAAACATCTGCTTAATATCTCATGAATGATATCCTGATGTTTGATTTAAGGGGCTCTGTGCATGTAGTCTGTTACAGTCTAGTGGCAGAATGACTTGTGATACCTGAGTTCTAATGCCTGGTTAGATCTGGGCATGACTCTCTCATGCACCAGTCATCTCAAATTGGCATTAGACACAGCCAGCTTTAGAAATCTCAAGACATTCAGGGCATTTAAATGCTAATACCATTATCTTATTAATGTGAATTAGACTGAAACCTTAGGTGACTTCATTTAGCCCAGTTAGAAGGTCACCAAAACATTTATTACAAGTGGAAATGTTCAGTTAGTTACCAGACTCAGCTACAGGACTCTAGATAAAGCTTGAAGCAATAAGTCAGCTCTTTAAAAGCAAAACTGAACAATTCAAATTTTCTTTGAGCACAAAGGCATTCTAATGTGTCACGTCTGGGTACATTGTTGTAATTAGCTCCAGTGTACCCAATTTTATATAACTCGATCTTTTTTTTTTTCTTTTTCTGCTAAAGGATTTCCCTGCTGCCCTTTCAAATGTGCACGTAATTCAATTCATGTTACAGGAGACATGTGGGTTTTCAATGAGATGCTAGCAGCAAATCTGTGTATTATTATTTACAGGGAAAAAAAAAGTGTCTTCTTAGCTCTCCCCTCCACTTCATAATTTTAGTTTTTCCTCCACAAATTTTTAGTTGCTCACTTTACACACACAAAAGCTTATTTTTAATCCAGGTTCTGAGTTTGGGTTTGCATTTGTTTATTTTTTGTTTATTTATTTGTACATTTGTTATTGTTGATGGGGCAGCTTGTGGGGTAGTTTGCTGTTTGATAATTGCAAATGAAATGAATCACATAGTAGCTGAGAACCTGACCATTCTGGCAGTTTGGGGATGTGTTCCTTATACCTGTGATGCACATTGAACTTTCAAATCATAGTAGCCAAATTATATTTAAAGCTCGCTTTTACGTTTAAAGTTTACTAATGAAAAAGATGCATAAATTGTGCTACTGCTGTCAGTTGAATCTTTTGAAGTCAGTATGTTGTAGTGAATACATTAGTTGTGACAACAGATATTCTTTCCTGCTGTAATCATTCCTATTTTGTAGCCACAGTTCTCCCTCATCACACTGAACAAGTTGTTACCTCCCTGAGGTTTTCTACATTTCCATTTACTTTGTTATCACAGAAAGGCTGGGGAAGGCCTCCTCAGTAATGACATCAGTACGGCACACACAGCAAGAGAGGTCAGCCTGTCAGAGCTATAGAAACAGCAGATGGATTAGGATGAAACTGGGTACAAAATAACTTTGATAGAGTCTTTTAATGTAAACAGTTTATCTTTCATTGCCTTTCATTGAAATCCCCCACAAAATGATCAAGTTTGGGCTGTTAAGGCCACAGAATGTAGCTGAATAAAACCCACACATTGTCATACTCTGACTATCCAGCAATTACAGAATGAGAGGACATTTTCATTTATTCATTAAAGACAAGAAAGTAAATAGGATAACATATAAGGTTAATAGAATAACATTGGCCTTCATATTCCCAAGATTGTGTTTCCCATTTGGCTGTATTAGCATAGAGACTAGATTAATAAGAAACTGCTTAGGGCTTATATGATGTGATTTTTAATATGCTTGAGGCAAGCCTGTGACTGTTTAGAAATCTGAATGCCAATTTTTTTCATTGTAATTAGGTCTTCTACTTTTAGTACCAAATATTTTGACTTGTAATCTCCACATAATAGAATGCCGTGAGCATACTCAGATACATAGACGCACAATATTTTTCCATGCTCTGCTTGTCACGTGGTCAATAATGGCCAAATACTGGCTAATGTCCTCTACAATTTTTGAATTAACTGTCTATGAGCTTTTTGATCACAAAGCCAATGACTCTTTTGCTTA